TAGCATCACACAATGGGCGTCATTTAAAAAAATCCTAATATTACAAAACTTCTCATTTTAGTTTGAATTGGGAAATTTACAAATATTAATAAAAATAGAGATACTTTATTCATGTCAAAATAAATGAAGATTTCAGAGAAGAAGAAACAGCTTGATTTATTCATGATGGTACACTGTCGCATACGACTTATTTACCACTTCCGTGTCACTGAGAATGTTTTAGAACCGTACTGTGTCTGGGTGGAATATTCTAGATTTTTTTTTTAGAAACTGGTTGATTAGGTAATAGAACACTGTAGGAGACAATAGAAGGTAATGGAACATTCTCGAAATTTGTAGTAAGTGCCAGACTCATTATGTATGCTGCTGTAATGGTCTATTTATAGACAGTGGAGGTATATATAGGGGAGTTGTTCAGCACTGAGTTCAGATCGGAGATCTCGTTGAATTGTGTTGGAGTTTAAGTATCTAGTTATTGGAGGTTTGGAGTTTTACCGCGTTATTGTACTTGATGTTTGCAGAGTATAATAATACCAGTACCAGTTGAAACCTCATCTGTTGGTTCCGTGTTCGTATTTTATCATCGCCGCCTGGGAAGTCTTTCTGTTACTGTTGCCATTTCGGTATTTGAACCATCACACCTGTACTATACCAATTACGGTAATATTACGTTGCGTGTGACATACACCCGTAGTACAACTGTGACGTCATTGAAAAAAACGCCCCACCCAGACGGACCAGTAATCTCTCATCGTTCTTGGTATAGGTCATGGCCATTTAGAAAAGAAAATCACGAATGAATTTCAAAAACAGGCATGTTTGTAACAAACAAAATTTAATTTTTTTTTTATAAAATATATAAGTATAAAGTTTCTAGGGCGGCGGTCTCCGCGAAGCGTTCTGTTCAAGTTCGTTATGATGGCGTAAAATTGAATAAGGGGTCGAACATGTGAAAACATCGGGGGTTAGCTGGAAGAGTGTTACCAGCCTGAGTGCAACTGTAAAATCTGTACATTTTTTAATGTGCCAACGTATTGTATGCAATTTTCCCTGTGTCTAGCTAGCATTGTTTGTTTTTTTCAAATAAATCATCCGACCACCCCATGATGATTTTAAATGGTCGACCCGTAACCTATTTGCAGCCATTTTAAATCATTGGTGGTGCGGGAAGACCAATGCATTTTTCGCGGTTTCTTATCTGTATTTTTTTGTTTTCATTTTCCCACTGCAAATTACTTCATGCATTTTTTCTCTCGGCGTCTAAGCTTGCTATTTTATTTGTTAACAAATCGTCCAGCCACCCCGATTTCAAATGGTCGACTGTTAGGAACATAGCAATGCATTATTCTACATAAGGCAATCGTTGCGAATTTGTTTTTATTTAAAAAAAAACAAAAACAAACACCAGCCCTTTTTATTATTTATGGGGAATCCTGCACAATAAAATAAACGCGTGTTTGTCGATCTGTGATTGCGTCAGACGTGTCTCCTAAAAAGTTGGCTAGGTGTTTATTTCATATATTTATGAACGAGTTAGGCAGTCTTAATGACCTCTATCCGTCACACGGACGCAAGCTCCAATCAGCTGATAGTCAGGGAACCAATGGGTTTTCGTGTTATTCCTATGATGAACGGGGCATAGAGAACAGCGTAGCAGACACGAAGAGATGTTTAAATCACGAAAAATCGGCGGACCGAGCCGATGGAAGGTCTCCAATATGTTCAAGACAAAACAGGGTGGGTAAAATTACGTCACTCCCCGAAGAGATGTCGTTGTCTCTTTGTCGAAATTTTGACTGACTCCCACTTGCTAAACGCATGAATGGCGATTGAAAGCGAGTGTCCTGTTCACTCATATGGTTAGCCGACCAGTCGTTATAATAATATATTTACGGCAATTTGTTCACTGTAATTGTTCTACGACATTCTAAATAATCATTGTCTCTGTTGTCTGAATTGAAACGCTTCATGCATTTCTTGGCATCCCCTTCCTTTGTGACGTTTTTTGGAAGGCTTGTTTATGTGAGCCACGCACAGCTGTTGAACACGTGACTATCTTTTATTTGCATACAATGAAGATTGAATATTCTAGCGAATACAAAAACAAAACAATTTTTCACACACATTATAATAAAAATATGCTTCAATGTGTAATGAATTGTTATCGTTTTTACAGTTATTTTGTTTAAATATGTAGGAGACAATTCTCAGGCTGTAAATAGGTTTAAAAAGTATCCTTTTTTAGAGAAAACAATACATTAATTAACTGCTTATGTTCTTTGTGCTTTTTTATTGTTTTTTTAATTTGGTACATTCAGATTTATTTATCAGTAGAATAAGTAAAAATAAATACCACAGAATAATTAAGCCTTTCTGTAATGAGTAAAAAACATGCCAACAAAGAAATATATATATTTTGCTATTTTTATTAGACAGATTACATGATATTGTATAGCTTAATTTTAAAAATGAAATCCTTTTGTGACTGATTAATAAATCCATTTATTTTGCATGAATTGTGGCACAAGTTTTTGTTAGGAGAACTGTATCTTGGATCAATTGTTTTACATTTGTATCTGTATATAAAGATACGATGTGTTATGTATGAAATTATTTATTATATATTTATAATATTTTTACCGCAGAGGATATATGTAAAATTGTAGCAATTAAATTGGCTACCTGAAATTATTCACAGTAAGATTATGAAAAAACGGGTTTGCAAGGCACAGCTTGACAATAACATCTTGTTAATTAAATTATATTTACTAATCACTATGTTGCCTTCCGTGAGTACTTCCGTGGTAATTGCAGCTGAAATTAGCCACAATTTCACCAAAATGTCAACTACAACCTGTTACTCATGACATGAATGTTATTACAGGCGTGTGGCAAGAACATTGTTTTTATGGCAATGTATGAATCATAAACTTTTTTTAGTAAGTTCAAATAGAAGGTTGAAAGAACTTGGATAAACAGGAGGCGCAAACCATGCTGTCATCGTGGTGCAAGTGTCCAAAATGCTCTTCAGATCAGTATCAATAAATGTTTGTTCCTATTAATCATGTAATAATAAATTGATCCCAAATTGTTACCTTTACCAAAATACACTTTGAGATGTTAGTACGGTACATGTACCTGTGAACAATGTAAACAAAACTGAACAATTGAATACTTCGTTTAGAATGTACAATTACAAGATCTGGTTAAAAATCCTTCCACGTTTTCGGTATACAATTCAAGGAAAGATGCATGTAAATATAATCTGAATTGGTAAAAAAACAACTTGTCATTGCTTGGTCTGTAATGTGTGTACAAAGCACCCAGTACGTGCTGTGTTGCATGACATCCCTATGATGGATGTTGTATTGTGGTGTCAATATGTAAGTCTATAAACAAACGATATCAAAGAATAGGTCACTATATTACATAAAAATAGAGTCTTATCTGATGAGAAAGATAAAATGTGTGCTGTATCTGTTTTCTTTATATGTGTTAATATGTAGTTATCATGATGAGAGAACCACAGAGTGTGCATGGAGATTAACATGTGTTTAGCGAAGGTCAACAAGATCCCGTATTATGCGGTTTCCTTGTGATAACTGTATTATAGTACGTCATTTCCTGTTACGAATGCAGGAAATGCCACCATAAACAAAATTAATATGTGTGTTATGTCACCTCGTGTTTGTGATACTATACATTCGGTGACATGACTCAACTTCCGACGCAAGCTACATTGTTTCTGAGGCAAATGTAAAATTGGAAAGTATTGAACAGGAGTTACCGAGTGTAAAAGAAGTAATACCCACAATTGAGTTTTTAAGTATACTAAAATTATGCATCAAATGCATTATGAACAGTAAATTTGGATCAATAATATAAATTATTTATAAAATCAGGATTTTTGGAAAATGGAAATTTTCTTGTTTTCCCTGTTGCTACGTTGACTGAAACCATGACAACAAACCTTCCATATCTAACCCACTTTTGTTTACCCTTTGTCTATTTTCAGTTGTTGCTGGTACATTAGCGATATCATGCCTAACATTTTTCATAACAAGAAGTATTCCATTTACTATAACTGCAGCTATTGGATGCTGTATATGGTCCCCACTGATGGCTCTCCTTAGTTGGCAGTCGGTCCTCGATGCATGGTTGGCGTTCTCAGTCTTAGAACATATAATTATTAGTTTATTATTACGGTTATTATTAGCGGCGTTACAGGCTTTGATCGGGGTTGTTATATTTGTGCCATTATTGATGTATTTGCTGTTACAATTGACCGTGATCACAATCTGCACTGCTGTTCGTTTGTGTGCAAAGATCGGGAGTGTTGCCTCCACTAAATCATGGGATGTTCTACAACCTTTATACCAGTGGGGACACCAGATACTCCTTATGAAAATTCTAGAAGACTGTGTACAAGGCAAAGAAGTTATATTCCCACTGCCAAATAAATGGTTAGCATTGACAGTCATGATTGTTATGCTGTGGTCGAAGTTTGAAAGAAAGTTTCCCCATCTGAGCACCAGTCACCATAGCAATATTAGGTACTTTGCAAAATACATTCTTCATCCATTGCATAATATATTTCTTATCATGTTGGCATTTCCGTCTAATTTACATATTGTTCACGTAAGCATAGCTTTATTTTATGTCATTTTCACAGAGAACTTTTTCCAAGATTTCATAATATTTCTGTTAGAAGATTATGGTTATTTATTTTTGAAGTATGTTTATTATTGTATCCCTCATTTTGCTCGTAAAATCTGGACGCTGTTAGAACACATGCCAGGATTTGAAGAACAGTATGTGAAGATATGTTATGAAATTGGTACGGCGTGTATGGCAGCGGCCATTATCCTCTGCAGTGTTGCTCTCGAAAATTACGAATCTTCAATTTTACTAGCTGTGGTGTTCTTAACTAATGTAGCGATCCCCATGGGAACGGCACAAAAATTAGTTTCACAATTGCAGAGGGAATTTGCTGAGATTGACCACTTTAAGCGAGCATCCGCGTATCAACTCTCGCAAATCAATGATGTCTGTGCTATTTGCTGGTTGCCATTGGAGACCACTGTTGTGATAACAAGATGTGGGCATTTCTTCCATGGACGATGTTTAGAAAAGTGGATTGTTATAAAAGAGACTTGTCCTCTTTGTAATCGAGATGTTCATGTTAGCACCTAGTTGCTAACCCTTTATACAATGCTTGTGTTTATACATTACAGGGTCTGTCAAAACTTGGGTGTATGTATGGAATATTTAATTGATATGATACAGAAAGATGATTTTGTGAATGTTTGGCAATGATATCAGACTAGAACTGCATTAATCTGAATCATAAACACTATTCCGAATCCTGAACACTATCCCAAAAACTGAACCCTTGTTTAAATTGTGAACATTAATCTAAATCCTAAACACTAATCAGAATACTGAACCCTTGTTTGAATAATGAACATTAATCTGAATCCTAAACACTATTCCAAATACTGAACACTAATCTGTATCCTGAACACTTGTTCGAATGTTGAACACTGATCCAAACACTAATCTAAATCCTGAACATTAATCTGAATTCTAAACACTGTTCCGAATCCTAAATACTAATGTGAATTTAC